CACCATCATCATCATCATCATCATCATCATCATCATCATCATCATCATCTCAAAACATATTTATAATTATGATTATCAATTTTGAATCTCATACATCATAATAATAATAATATATTCAAACAAAAATATATGATCATTATGCCATAAAAACATTATAGGATTAGCACACATTATAATAAGTGGCGGACCCACGAATCGAAATAGATGGGCTTTAGTGAGGTACTTTAAAAAAAGGACAACTTCAAACCCACCACGTTAGAGATGAGGTGAAAGACAGACCACAAACATAATCTAGTTGACCTGATATGATTTTCTTTTTCCCCATAAAAATATCAAAAAAAGGGAAGTCTACCCTTGAGTCCACTCCTGATGTTAATACATTTTGAGATGGAGGTATCCAATGGGAATTCGAACCCGACTCAACACAAGCTTTATTATAAAATTCGCGAACTTTGTGAATGTTGTGGTTAGGTTATGTACCAAAATATCGTTATCCACTACGTTGCAGCAACGTTTTATGTTGTGTCATCAGAAATTAGGTTATAGGCCTGAGTATATGTACATGCACAGTGTTTTCTCAAGACATCGTGGACCATCCATAAATTTCTAAAAGTGTGATTTAGGTTTATGATTTTAAATTTATTAAATTATTATTATTATTATTATTATTATTATTATTATTATTATTATTATTATTATTATTATTATTATTATTATTATTATTATTATTATTATTATTATTATTATTATTGTTATTATTATTGTTATTATTATTATTATTATTATTATTATTATTATTATTATTATTATTATTATTATTATTATTATTATTATTATTATTATATATCGAAACATTTTTTTCTCCATCCTTATTATTTTTTAATATTTATTTACTTTATAAAAATATTGTTCTGTATTTGGAGACAAACCTGAAATAGACCTGCCAACTTTCATTCATTGTCGTAGCTATTTACCCGTTGATTTGTATAATTATATCATTGGTTTCCCTATACTTGAAAACGTGGCATTATCAACGAGTAACATGTGTAATCTGTTGTTGATACGTGTTGTTGCTTTATTGTACTGAATAAGTTCGTTCATTAATTTCAAACCAAGTTTGTACAGTCTATTACAGGAAATGTATTAGCATGAGTAAGTTTGTGTTTTTCGTTGGTTCATAGTTAAATTAAGAAATATGAATTTTAACGGATGTCTTTTTGGCTAGGCCCCAGACTCTGTTAAGATCGTCGATATGCGATCTGTCCGAGCGCCTGGCCAAGGCCTACTAGGCCAGGCAGGGCACAAGCTAGCTAGGCCTATCCTAGGGCCTAGGTAATTGAGAAAAGGTGATGAGGATTGATCGGGAATTTGCCTGGCTGGCGATGAGCACACTGAATGTATGCCTAGTCTAGCCTACCATCTATGTGTGTAGGCCTAAGTTAAGGCCGCTAGGCTAGGCTAGTCTATCGGCCCTAATATTTTGTGGAAGCGTGGACGGATTTCTAGGGCTAATTTTTGCGTGGAGGATATACCGTAAAATTTATAATAGATGCCTACAATACTCGAAAAGAAGCCAATGGGCTTCTCTGTAGATTTCTAGGCTAAATTTTTGTTACCATCTGGGATAGATTTATCATTTAGGTGGCTGAACAGTAAGTGTTTGATATTTTTATGGCAAATATTAAACTACACGTCTCCCTTCAATTAACGACAACTTTGGTTTCCATGGTCTAGCAGTTTTGGTCTAAGATAATTTGGGTTCACAGAGAATGTTTTTTAATTGGAGATGCTTTAATTGGATGGAGGGATCTTTAATTACTGTAGATGAGAGGCCTCTACATGTACTCTATCTATCTTGTTGAAAGTACAGTAGGTCTACTGTACAATATAAGATGGTGCTGATTTTCAAACTTATAGTTTAATACTACCAAAATCCTCTTTTGACTGCTACTAGTAACAGTACTCACCAATTTCAGGTCAGATGCCATCTGGAAGCATCGCTGACTGCTATCACTACTAGCGTGTAGTGTTTTTATGGAAACCAGACGTTCAATCTGTACATTTACTCGTAATAATTTAAAACATTAATAAAATTAGACACGTATTTGTGAGAATACTTAAATAAATCACATGGAAAACTTACCAGGTTGGAGTGTTTGTAAAGTGTGACCTATTTTGTGACCTACTTTATTTTAAACCAATTATGTCCAAAAGGTATTCCAGGGTGCTATAGCTTTTAAGAATTTTCCATAGGACACCCAATCATAAGCAATTTATGTATTTGGTGTTCATTTGCTTTTGTAAAATGTATAGCTTCTAAGAGTAAATTGTTGTTATTTGATATCAAGATTTTCTATTGTAAATTCATAGTACTTTAAGTTAAGTAATTATTAACAATCATTAACATCCAAAAGTTGATGTACTGTATTTATAGTCAGCTCAGTTGATGAAAGTTTATGTTCAAGATTCAAGATTGAATTTATTGTCACACAGTCAACTTTTCTCGAATAATTTTTAAGTCGATGTTATTTATTTACATGCCAAATTGTTGTGTTTTCCATTAATTAACGAACTGTACGTCAAATTTTAAAGTCAAACAGTTTTTCGATGCCATTTTGGATTCCACAATAGATTGATTCGTTGATGGGTGTCACATGACCTAACTTGGGTGTTAGATATAATATAAACAATAACTGGCAGCGGTGTTTTACATGGAGATTGCTATGGTGGCCGTCCCTTGTAATTGCTGTAAAGATCATCATAATTCCCAGTAAACTAACCAAACTGATTGGAAATTGAACTTGAAAATTTTGTCTTAATGGTTTGCTAATGCTGTAAATATTGAGATTTTTCGACAACAGTCCAGTTCTTCCCGGCTTGGCCTGCTTGTTTGTTCTGTACATTGTTTTGCCTGTTCTTGACTAATTTCTGATTTAAAAAATTTTTTTTTTTATTATTATTACTTTAATAAGTTTAATTTAAATAATTAGGATTAGTGCGGTAGCCTAATTACTGGTCTTGGCCTCCTTGGTTCCCGGCACTTGTTTGTACGCCTACTAGTGTAGTAGTTAAGAGAACAAGTGAATAAAGTGAAGAATTTAATTAATTTATTTTGATCAATTCAGATGGTATAATTTTGAACACATTTTTAAGTTCTAAAAATTTGATTTCATTTTCTCAGATACATAACTTTTTGTTGAAATCATAATGTGTGGAATTTCCTGCCTTATTGGTTCTTCTGTGGAATCATTTTCATCTAAGGTAATTAAAGAGATTTTTTTTTAAATATTTTTTTTTCACTAATCACTAACAGTCATTTCAGACTGGAGCTACATGTATGTATTTATTTTAAACACTGAATTTCAATTGTCTGAGCCTTAATGGTCATAAAAAATCTCTAATGCTGTACTAGGATGAATTTGAATTAAAGGTCATAAATATTTTATAGGCCAAAGTAAAAAATTCTTGTCAGAATTGAAAAATAGATGGAGGTAATTATAGATCAAGCTCTAATAACCATATCTAATCTGAGGTCCTGTCCAAACTCAGAATTTTATTTGATAAAACCAAGTGACATACCTTAATATTGTCATGGTGACTTCACATTATAACCATATAAGTACATCATGACTATATATGGGCATACAACAGTTTTTTGCCAAGAAAAAAACTAAAAATAAAAGTATGTATGCTATTTCAACCACTAAAGGTTTACAATGTCAGTTAGTTTTTTTAATGAAATAAATTGTAATTGAAGAACTAAATACAGAATTGAAAAAAAAAAAAATAACCTTAAGAACTTGAGAAAAATAGAAAAAGCAGAGTACTGTATATCTTTTTTTTTAATGTTGCTAACTCAATTTTCAGTAAAAACCTTAAAGAGCAAATTTATAGTGATTTACACCTTCAATGACAAATCACTTTGTAATCTGAAAGTTGTGAACATTAATCACTGATACGGTAGAAAAATTCCTATTCATTACGTACCTATGAATTGGCTATTTATACTGACCAGCTTGAACTTTTTATGACCCCAGTCACGGAGAGTTCAGAGCTTACTGTTCAAAACGTGGACTGATAAGAATGTAAAGTCTACAAATATCCCTACTGCACCTCAGTTTAGTAGATCGTTAAGGAGCTCGTTTTCTAGGCTTCATCATTAAACATCGGAAGTACAGATTCTATAGTTCATAACAACTGAACTCCAAAATAATTTCAGACTCAAACTACACATTCTGCTTTTCATACCATATTTAATCAGTTTAATAATTAGAAACTCAAATACATGTTTTGCACCCACCCACACGCACACACCCTCTGCAGCCTTGGGAAGATTGCCCAGAGTGAAAACAATCCCCTTCACTCACACTACTACCTCTCTTTACATTGCCAATGCAATATTTCTCTTTGCATCTCCCGCTATAATAGCCTCTTTTCAAACCCGTGTCATACCTCCCACTTTAAAACATCAATTCCTTTTCCATATAATCGACCAACCAATTAGAATCACCGAAAGTTGCTGGCGATAGTGTGTAGCGATTATATTGGAACCATGCTTTATTCTTGCATACTCCCTGTTGGTTGGTTATCTCCCCTCCCCACTCCCATCCCGAACATGTAGGCTAATATTAACTCACCTTTTTTTTCTACCCATACAGTACCTAGAGTATCTTGTTGTAACATTATTTAATTGTAACTTGTTTTATTTTATAAATGTTTGTTGGTGGATAATATCCATTGATGGTATATTAAAGCAATAGATTCAATTTAATTAAATTGAATTGAAATATAGCTAAGTTTTGAGTTTATATTCTCAGTAAATTTTACTGTACTTCCGTGTATTCAGTTTTACTTATTTTCTGCAGTAGAAAGAAATTTTAAACATTTATGATATATTTTTTAACAAGAAGCATATAAACAGAAAAAATGCAATTAAACATTTAAATTACAAAACGCTAGGCTATAGTTTCCCAAGGCTAATAACATGTGATAGTATCATTACAGTACTGTTTGTACTTTTTACAGTTCAGTAAGACATGTAATGTGCCCTATTTCTCACCCTATCATTGAAATTGCAGTTTTAAACAACAAATTAAATGATAATTTAAACATAATTAGGTACCCACAAAGTTCTTCTAATTATGTACTGCCAAAGTAATAGAATCAGAAGAAAAGCCACTCTAGTTATTTGTAATTAACGCCGTTCCCGATGAATGCACTGATGCCTCTGAATGTTTTTGAAGCGCTTATTCAATTATTTACAGTAGGCCTAGTTCTCTTTGAACATTAAAATATACTATTAATATCAATTTGCAGATTGCTGACTTGCAATCACAGCTGAAAAGAAGAGGTCCAGATTGCTGCGCTGATGTGTCCTTGAAATCTTGCTCGGTGCAGGCAATATTTTTGGGAAGTGTGCTTCATTTCAGAGGCAGTTTAACTCCACAGCCGCTGCAAGATTCCGCTAATAATATCCTCCTATGGAATGGTGAAATATTTGGTGGAATTGAGGTAAACAATTTCCTTGTGTAAATAAAATATATAAATTGACTTGAAAAATGTACGTACTATCTTTGCAAACAGTCAAATGATCCGCGCATACAAACAATACAGTCGTGGTTTACGTGCAAACAGTATAGTCAGTTAGTTTCCAACATTACAATCAAATGGTCGGTGTGCGCTAACAAGTGCTAGCAGTATGATCAAATGTCTGCGTGCATGCATGCAAAGAGTAAAGCACCTCTCACATTATTGCGACCTAGCACCGCACCGACCTACAGTCGTATCTGACCGAAAGTAGGAGCTGCCCTCTGATTGTACCCTCTCTCACACTATCACGTCTTAGCCTTGCAAGCGTAAGTCGTAGAATGACCCCCATTACAAGCATTTACATGGCTCATTTAATATGCATGAAAACACCATGTGTCATTTATTGGTGGAAAGTAATTATGGCCACTGTAGCCAAATGACTACTACTCATCTGAGAGTGACAAGGATCAGTACTGACCACAATAAATGTTGAAAACTCCTCGACCATCAATGACCCTCTCCCGTCACAAGCAAGTTTCTCTATAGTAACTCCCACACTATCAAGACCTGGCCACGATCGCACTGGTTGGTGTTGGTCGTGTACCGATCGCAGTGTAGGTTGTGATAGTGTGGAAGTGACTTAATAATATAGTCAAATTATTTGATGTGGTTAATGCTTGCCTGGCCTTAGCTTTAGAGCACTGATTCTCAATTGATGATCCATGGGCCACTTCCAGCTCCTAATAGAGTGGCTTAGCTCAGTCGGCTAAACTGAAGAGAGCAGCTTAGCTCATTCGGCTAATCTGGTGGTAGCCGCTGTGTGTGCGCTGAACTGTGTAGATCTCTAGGTCCCCGGTTTAATTCCCATTGCTGCCTCTCCTTGTGTTTCAGCTAGAAGGCTGAAATACAAGTTACAATAGCGCACCGTCTTTCGGATGAGACATTTAAGCTGTTGGTCCCGTGTGCATTTATGGCCCATGTGCACGTTAAAGAATGCAGTACACTCTTCGGAAAGGAGTAGGGTATTGTCTCCCGGTGTACTGCCCAATCACCACCAGAAGGACCCCACTGGAAATAAGTCTTCTAGACTTTCGTGGGCTATCCTTGGTGTTTACACCGAATAAATCCAATCTAATCCAATAGCATACTGCCCAATTGCCACCAGAAGTATACTGGAAACAAGTCTTCGGACTTAGTTATTCTTGGTGTCGTTCACACCAAACATATTCTTATCATATCCTATCCTGTATTTTAAAATGCCAGTTTTTTTAAATGCCAGTTTTTTTTTATTTTTTTTTTTAGGTTGGCTTACAGTAATAATTTTTTTTTTTTTTTTTATAGATACAAAGTCATGAAAATGATGGCCAGGTTCTTTTAACTTTACTGCAGCAGTGTTCATCTGATACGGAAGTCACCAGACTGTTGTCCCTCATCCAAGGTCCTTGGTCTTTAATCTATTGGCAGGTATGTGTGCCAAAAAGTAAAGTAGTTTCCGGTAATGTACAACAATACAAAAGCAAGCCCATTTTGAAATTTAAAACTCGGGCCGCCTCTGCAGTTATTCGATATCTTGTCTTTTATTATTTAAATATTTTACATCTTGTTGCATCACAACCAAATTGCGTGTAAATTACCATTGTGTTTAAAAAATTATGATTACAACAAGAAGCAGAATAAGAATTAATCAAAAAATATAATTAATATTAAATAAAAAATATTGAATCCCAACATGATGGCGTGCATTGCAATAGTACCTTATGTATCACAGGGGCGGATACCTGTCTCTTATACACATCTAGATGTGTATAAGAGACAGAAGTAATATGGGCGGATGCAGCCTGCCAGAAAAAAGGGGTGGTGTAATCTGCGAGCAAAGCGAGCAGCCTTAGGTTGGGGGCCAGGGGGCTGTCTAGGGCCCCGGCGTGGTCCAGGGGCAGAGCCCCTGGTAGGGGTCCAAGGGGGCGAAGCCCCCTTGAAACCCAGCACATTTGAAGAATATGAGGTTGTATTGAGTCGATTTTGACTATCTACAAGTAGCATGGTATAGTTTTCAGTAACAAATAAATAAAAAAAAACAAACTGGTGTATGTCTTTTAAAAGAAATTTTAATATACAGGGTACCTGCAAATGCAACTATGTCATGTGTCATTAAATTAGTAATAATTCATCTACTCACAACATAATCTTTGACAACATACAAATTTCACTTGTAGAAAACATGATGAAGTTTCTCAGCAACATTGAACATAAAAATCACAAAATCAGCAAAAAGGAAAACTACAGTAATATCCAAAATCCGTTAAAAAAGTCGTCAAACAACAAAATCCGCTACTGTATATTAACATTGAGTAAATTACAAGTGTTCTAAACTCACCAAGTGGATTTATGAATAGCACACTCCTAGGGTGTTTTTGGTAGGAAAAGAAGAGTTAAACACTGTGGGTGTCATTTTTTCTTTGCAAAAAAATAGGTGGGGGGATGGGTACTGTACTTGAAAACAATAAGGAAGCAAAACTTCAAAAGTGTCAAATGTTGTCTACACAAAAACTGTACTTTATTAAAAGATTAAGTCTACTGAAGAGGTGTCGTTAATGGAGATGTGCACACATATCAGTGTACTGTGGTCACTGTGCATGGGGTTGTCTGACAGCACATACCTGCTGACCTCGATAGAGAGTGATGGATTGCACAAATGTTTCCATGCTGGTGCATCTGCGCTTAAACTGTCTTAGTAGCTATGCATTGTGCGATATGACATAGAATCAACCTTTCTTTGGAATTGTGTATCCATTCAATTATCTCAACAAAAAAAAAAAAAATTTAAAAAAAAAATTTAAATTTTTTTTTGTGATATAAGGGGGTGGGGGGTGGGGGGTGCATCGCAGGCACACCCCCCCGTAAATCCGCCCATGTATTATACTTAAAACTGATCAAGGCATGGAGAAATTGTCACAAAGGGGTTCATGAAATTTGTTATTAAGTAACTTTATGAAATCTGAGATTGGGCTGTTTATGATTATGAAATCTAAAATAATGTGATTGGATCACAAACTTTTAATCCAAAAAAGACCCCACCAATTAAAGACCACCTCCAGTTAAAGACCACTTTTCTGTGGTCCCAAAATAAATTTATCTTTTATATTTATTATTCTAATTATAGACCACAGCTGCTAAAGACTATGGAAACGCCAGTCCCAAAAGTGGTCTATAATTGGAAGGAAACCTGTACTCAATAAAGATATTTCACCTTACAGTACTTTATTCATGAATATGTGCAGTAGAGCTTTTAATAGTAAGATACAATAAATTAAAAGCAAGCCCATGTTGAAATTTAAAGCTTGGTCACCTCTGCAATATTGATATAATTGGATAACTTTTTATCTAATAATTAATGTCCAATAATTTATTTAAAATTTAACGGTAAGATACAACAATTAGAAAGTAAGCCCACGATGAAATTTAAAAGTCAAGTCACCTCTGCAATTATTTGATAACGAACCACATAATAACGAATTTCATGAACCCCTCCCCCCCCCTTTTAACATTATTGACTGTTCCCGTGTACGTAATTTTACCTTTGTTAATAAACATCCCCCTGAAACCCTTTGATTCATGCATCACTGTGCTAGAACCAATTGCCACCACTATCCTGTTATCCATAAATTTCCGAGACTTTGGGAAGAATTACCCATGAATCTAATAAAAAAAACTTGCTTATTTTAGACTCCCTTTCTTCATTTCTGTGTGTGCACTTAAACATCACATATACTTTGCAATAATACTTGGATTGTAGAGTAAGGTTGTATGCTGATAACAATGGCTAATTATAAATCTGGTGTTGATTACGGAATATATATAAAAAATAATAATTTTTTAAATCTTTTAAATGCTTCAATTAATTCATTTTTATCTATGTATTTTTCTGAAGACATTGTATATTTAATTAAAGTGGTTTATGACTTTTGCTCAACGCAAGTTCTCAAGTTATATTTTTGTTTAAAAATGAAAAAAAATTATTGGAAACACGTTTTTTGAAATTTTGAGCCTTGCATTTTTGTGAAACCGGGAGGTTGAGAATCTCATGCTCACACAATAGTGATTAGTTTCGCTTTTGAGTTTTTGTCTCACTGTGTTTTGACAATAAAGAAAGAATAAGAATAATTAGATCACAAACTTTTTGTCTAATATTTTAATGTCCAATAATTTATTTAATATTGATACAACATCAATCAAAAGCAAGCCCACATTGAAATTCAAAACTCTGCCACCTCTGCAATTATTTGATATAACTAGATCACGTAATTTTTATCTAATATTTTAACATCCAATAATTTATTTAACATTTAACAGTAAGATACAAAAAATCAAAAGCAAGCCCACGTTGAAATTTAAAACGATGCCACCTCTGCAATTATTTGATACAATCAGATCATGAATTTTTTATCCAAAGTTTGATAAGATATTTAGCCTATTTATAAATATATAGACTTTAACCTTTTAACATGATTCAAAAGTGAGTTCTAATTTTAACCTCGGTTTGCCAAAGATTAGTACTGTAGTAAATTTTAGTATTCTTGACTGATTGTATGTTCAGTATAATACCTACTCCAAAGTATTGAAATGCACGCCATCGTGTCGGGATACCGACACGATGGCGTGCATTTCGATACTTGAGTATGTATTATACTATCTTATCTGAGATTAATCAGTGGACCTTTCAGTGTTTACATATTGAAAACTTTTCCCCTATTTTCGACAAAAGCTCATTCAGGTAAATTTGACCTACATCTTATGCATGAATGCACTAACCTCAGAAAACTCGAAATTCGTAGCTGCTATTGGCCTTAAGCGTGTGACGTCATTCATAGACATTGTAAAAATAGTTCTAAATACAAAATTTTAAAGAAAAAATGATCAATGGTTATTTAAGCAACCAGCATGGGACTTACATGGCAAGAAAGCTTAATTTATGAGCTACAATTGACCGTTCACCCCAAAATTTAGCGACCTGTCGTTGCAGAGTTAAAGAAAAAAAAAAGGTAAAAAGAAGTAAGGAAGTATACCAAAAAACACACAATTTTAACCTTTTTCCTATGCAAAAGCATTAGAGGTAGTCAACTTTGAAAGAAAAATGATCACTCAATTTTGCATTAATTGTAGGAAAATATAGACGATTATAAAGCTTAAAACATCTGGTTTAATAATCCGAACGCCCCAGATTGCCAAATGAAACCATTCAAATTATATAGTCGATTTTGTGAGAAAATGGGGTCCCGTTTTGATTCATTTACTGTGTTAAGGTGTGCAGTGAACCGTTCAGTGAGCAGATGTCTCCAACTTTTCATTATGTTATGTATTGAATTTTTAATTAACCTTCTTCATATGCTGCGTATAATTTATAATATTAACTATACAGTTTTTTTTCTACTGTAATTGATACAGTATTCTTTTTTTTTAACATCCCCTTTAAGTCAGCCTCATTTTTGTGTCATTCTCGCTAAATAAATTTGAATCAAGAGTAATTTTTAATAAAATTGTATTTCTTAAGTCAAAAATTTTGTAATTGTATTAGTATAGTCAATATTGTATTAGAGATAGTCAATTATGAGCCTGGTTTGTTGGTTGTGTAGAGGGGTGGTATTGCCATTCAGCTGGGCAGTAAAGGTATTTGACCAAAAGTTTTGATCATGAAATTCTATCATCTCAGTGGTCAGTGTCCTAATAACATAATAGGATGGACACTTCATCCCAATTGTCTCAGCTCCCCAGGTGTTTGTTATAATTGATTACATAGTGGGTTGCAGATATGCAAATTATCAGAGTATCAATTCTGTGGCAATTCTTAGGAGGCTTGTATTACATTCCCTGTAGAGAAAAGGTTATTCCATATGCTCTTGGATGATTGATGAAACTTTCCTTCCGAGATGGTGATAAATATATCCAAATAACAATTTTGTTAGCATTGCATAAGGGGGTAGGTTGGAGCTCTCATCAGCTGGTACCATGACCCCTACATTCTAGGTCCTTCCATGAGGCTAACTTTGTTTGGGGTAGGCAAGGGTTCTCTGTTTTTTTGTTAGCCAGTGAACTTTGACTAACTCTAAAAGGTCCCGTTTTGATTCATTTACTGTGTTAAGGTGTGCAGTGAACCGTTCAGTGAGCAGATGTCTCCAACTTTTCATTATGTTATGTATTGAATTTTTAATTAACCTTCTTCATATGCTGCGTATAATTTATAATATTAACTATACAGTTTTTTTTCTACTGTAATTGATACAGTATTGTTTTTTTTTAACATCCCCTTTAAGTCAGCCTCATTTTTGTGTCATTCTTGCTAAATAAAGTTGAATCAAAAGAGTAATTTTTAATAAAATTGTATTTCTTGAGTCAAAAATTTTGTAATTGTATTAAAGAAAGCTTTAATTGTATATACAGTATAATTATAAACCTTTAGAAATTATGATTATTGTAAAATTTTGATTACAACAGTTGGTACTGTAGATTGCAAAGTTTTTAACGATTTTCACAGATTTTGTTTTACTGTACCTCGGAAATATTAGTGAGCTTTCGCAAATGCAGCACAGACGTACTGTACTGTAGGACTAAAAGCAATGAACTGTGACTGCCTATGATACTCATCTGCGGTCTGATCATTCGCAGTTCCACAATTGAAGAATGAACGGTAGTGTGTGACGTCATTAACCTGACACACGCCCTCTTTTTTAGGCATCCCAAAGAGCGCTTATTGGCTGCTTAGTATCCCTAAAGAGCTGTGATTGGCTGCTTAGTATCCCTAAAGAGCTCTGATTGGCTGCTTAGTATCCCTAAAGAGCTGTGATTGGCTGCTTGAGCTAGTTGTTCGTGATTCTGCATGGATGATAAATTGGCCAAAAACTGTTTGTGATGTTGCCAAGAATGTGAAGCTGTGAGGGGTCGTGCATGCGCAGATGGATTTTTGTGTCAGATTACCGTCCTTGAGTCCGTACGTCGTTGATGCGAAAGCTAACTATTGAGAATTGTCAGGCGCAGTATTGCTGCAAGTGCGACTGAGTTTTATTATGTCATTGGAAATCGTATGCATTATCTAGCTGACTCCATTTCACCTTAAATAAAGAGTGTTTAGCATACTCCCAAATGATATTACTGTATCTAAAAAATCGAAAAAATGTGATTTACTGTACAACCTCAACGGTTTTTCATCAAGATGGCAGAGTATTGGTTAATTATGGAAGAGATAGTCAATTATGAGCCTGGTTTGTTCGTTGTGTAGAGGGGTGGTATTGCCGTTCAGCTGGGCAGTAAAGTTTTGATCATGAAATTCTACCATCTCAGTGGTCAGTGTCCTAATAACATAATAGGATGGACACTTCATCCCAATTGTCTCAGCTCCCCAGGTGTTTGTTATAATTGATTACATAGTGGGTTGCAGATATGCAAATTATCAGAGTATCAATTCTGTGGCAATTCTTAGGAGGCTTGTATTACATTCCCTGTAGAGAAAAGGTTATTCCATATGCTCTTGGATGATTGATGAAACTTTCCTTCCGAGATGGTGATAAATATATCCAAATAACAATTTTGTTAGCATTGCATAAGGGGGTAGGTTGGAGCTCTCATCAGCTGGTACCATGACCCCTACATTCTAGGTCCTTCCATGAGGCTAACTTTGTTTGGGGTAGGCAAGGGTTCTCTGTTTTTTTGTTAGCCAGTGAACTTTGACTAACTCTAAAACCACCTGGTATTTAACATTATTATATTTTGTGGATCCCCACGGTGGCAGATCCAGGAATTTCAAATAGAAGGGGCCCAGAGAGGTACTTCACAGATAGAGGATCCACCTACCTCAATCCCACTATGCTTGAGACTGAGGAAAGAAAATATATGATTTATAGCACTGTATGGCACTCTCAGATTTCAATTTGATTCTAATTTTATTTAATTTTCCCGTTTTTTTTTTTATTTTGAGAAATTTAAAGGGCGGGGGGAGATATCAAGTAGGCCATCTGACCATTTCCTCCCCCCCCCCCAAAAAAAAAAAAAAAAAAAAAAGAAAAAAAAAATCCACAACTGCAATATATTAAGGAATAATGCTCACTGGTTCAGATCTGATCTAAGCTTTTGTAGAAAATACTATTTAAATCAATATTATGATTCAAACATTAGGCATAACTTTCATTATACATTAATAATGTAGGCACTTGCCTACTTCGAAACTCATGCAAAGAATAATTCTATGACCAACAGCGTGGCCACTGTCTCAAATGAAATTATGCCATTTTTTGGTATAATATTTGCTATCAATGCTATGCCTGAAATAGTGGATATATACATGACTGCCATGTATTTAACTAATATTTTCGTACTTAAATACACGACAGTCAGGTTATGCAGTACTTATGGCGTTCAAAATAGCGTGTTTAGCTACAATTGACATCTCGACGAGATTTGATTGACAGATAAACCGACTAATCAGCGAGCGTCACATGATCAAAAACTTTTTCTCTGACATTTTAATTTCCCTAGACAGCTGGTTTAAACGCGAAACATAGTAAGCCTAGGCCTAGATGCTTGGTTATAGATACCCAGATTTACACGAGCAGTGCTCATCCATCAGTGACTTGGCCTTTGCCGACAACAAGGTTGACTGAATGCGGCTTTTCCCTCCTCCTTTGGGAGCGAAATACAGAGGCTTTTACAACAATTTCCCCGCCATGTTCCATGAAATAGATAATGTTCATTTGCATACCGCCTACTCTAAATTCTCTTTCTTAAAGAAGGTTGATAACAAAGAAAATCTTCGCCAACTCGGTAAGTCTAGCCGCCATTGTCTAAGGTTTTCGTGACTTTGTGGGTGGGGCTTCGCGTCCTTGTCGACATGTCAATTTGATTTGAAATGTTTGTTGCCACACCCCCTTACCTAATTGCCCTTCTAGGTGAAGTGAGAACATTTTTAAAATAGGCACCTCAAGATGCTTGGAAATGGCAATCATTTATGACTTTTTTTTGCAATTTATTTTTATAAATGTAATGAAATTTACATCAATTATACTACGTTATGGTACATTTTCATGAAGTTATGCGTAGCATTAATGCTACATGCTACGGGGGTCCAAATTATGCCAAAAAGCATAATTATGCTACGAATGGCCAATATGATGAGCAATACATAGGCCTAGCTACTGTACTTTCCAGCAGTTTATTGATTGATTATAAATTAATTGATGGTTTTTTTATTTGATTGATTATGTGAATAATTATCAAACTGTACTATATCTATTGTTTTGATGAAGTAATATTAAGCAAGGATTTTTTTTTTTAAATTATTATGCATTCCTTTCTCCTGGCAGGATGATACTTTTACTTTGCCAAAAAATATTATCATGATCGTCCCGCAGAGTAAAACAGAAAGAAATTTTTTTTAGCTGACTACGTTTTTTGACAATAACGTTTTGGCCTCCAAACAATGTTTGTACTTTTTTTGCTTTCCTAGGCAACCAAACAATGTTTGTGGTTTGGCCGTGATGCTATTGGCAGAAGGAGCTTGCTATGGGGCTGGGAGAAGAACCATTTAATGCTGTCATCTGTTGCTAGGAGACCTTGGAGCGATGAAGATACTGTGAGTGTTGCCTATCCCTTCCACAGGTCCTATCTACTCGTAAATCACCTGAGAGATGTAGTCCCACACCTGGTAAAACTTGCCCTCCTTACATTGATCCTGTACTTTTAAGCTTCCTTTTTGATATTAAAACTCTAGGCTAGTGTTAGTTATTATGACCTTTGACTTCAGATTAGTCCCGAGGTGCAGAGAGTGTGGGCGATTTTAAATAACAGGAAGCAATATTCCAAATTTCCGAAATACATTCTAAGTTAAAAAAAAATATTATTGCTTATATAATTAATATTTTTTTTTTAGCAATAATTTTATTTTGTACCCCCTGTTGATGCCAGCTAGGTTTATAAATCAAATATACAGTATGTTGTATGGATGTTAAGAATGTAAATAACGCCATTACATCATACATGCAACTTTTAATTGTGCGGCAGCATTATCCCTGGAATTATGGTAACATGTTTCAGTACGTTTGAAACGTTAATTACATAGATTATTTCATGTGTCATAAAGAACAGATTGGTGGTTTGATGTGTGGACAACCAGTATTATTATAGGGCTCTGCATTCTGCTATGGATGATTCAACATAGACCACACTTACAGTATCTTACAGTATACAGAATACAGTGGGAGAGAAACTGCAGAATCCCTGTCGTAATACTTAGACACCCCCCCCCCAATCGCACATTAAAAAGGGTGATATTTTAACAGCAGAGCATTTCACTTGGAACTATTGCTTCATAGCATAAACTTTTCTAGGGTGTTATAGAGTTCATTTATACCTAATGTGCGAATGACCAAAGACCCTGGAACTAAAAGCAAGTAATAAGCTAACAAACTATCTTGTATCCTGCATCAATATTGATTATTGTACAGTCTGGTTTCTAATGCTGGTCTCCTTTCCACCCCAATCCCTTCTAGGATTGCACAATTTCTTCCTAATACTACTGTAATTTCTGAATTTTTTTTATGGGAAAAATATATGTCTGTCTAATAATTTGATTGATTCAACAAAAGTGCTGTTTTTCTACAGTTAGTTGAAAATCAGCAGTGAAAAAATTTCCTCCCCAAAGCAGTACATAAAGGGACGTAACCATGTTTTGTGATCAACCAAGAAAAACAACTTAAAAAGAAGCCCGCATGCTGGGCTCTAGAGTACTATTAAAAGCGCTAAAGTAATTTAAAGTTGAATTGAAAGAATTCTTTGAACTTAAAGTATCAAACATGTTATCATTCCACTAGAAAAATAACACTTAAAATTGTTCGGAATGAATATCAATAGGTATGAGTATAAGAGCTTTGCATCTACATTTACATGCCTATACAAAACTGCCTTCTCCTTTTGAACACTGCCTACTATAGAAGTAGTTTGGTGCAGTGGGAACGGTTTGGTTTCCCAACCTTGAGGTCGGGGTTTCAATCCCCTCGCTATGCATTTCGCTTGTGTCCTTGGCTACATTTTTTCTCTCCACCCAGGAGTATTAATGGGTGCCTGGTAGGGTTAAATGCCAAAAATGCACTGATGTTATTGCTGCAAATTTATGGAACGGTTTGTGTTGTAGTAGTAATGTGAAGTGCTTAGAGGCCTTGTTGGCATGAAGCGCTATATAAATGTAACATATTATTATTATTATTAATTGTAGTGTCCAGTCTTAATTACTCTAATTTTATTATTTCCTTTTTGTGAAGGGTTTGCTTTGCTATTTTTCTGATTTACAGTAAATCAATTTAGTATTCAGGTCTGCAATATTTTTTTATCAACTCTGTTAATTGCAAGGTTGAACATTTAGGAAAAACATCTGTGGGTGCATATTAGGCCAAAAAAAAAAAAAAAAAAATTAAAAAAATTGTTTTTTTGCCCTCCTCCACCCATCACTAACTCACTAAAAAAAAAATAGAATTTGGAAATACAAAAAAAAATTAAAAAAAGCTTTTTTTTTTAGCTTTTTTTCTTTATAAGTTAAAAAAAATGTGAGTGAACTTACATTTATATTTTGCCAGATGCCCTAGTAATTAGTCTAAAGTTGTTGTCTGATGTAAGATATTGCCATTCTAGGCCTCTGTGGGTTATTTTATTCCATCTGATGAGCATCTTTAAAAAAGAAAATAAAAAGAAAGCCTTTTTCCACCTGCCCCTATTTATCATTTTAAAAAAAAGAAGGGCAACCAAACAATTTATTTTTTGGCCTTATTAATTACCGAAAGAATGTACAGTAATAACATTTTCTATAAAGATATTTATACTGTAATGAAACTTAATACCACTACATTTTTGCCATGCTAGGAAGAATGTTTTCAATGATGTTTATGTCAGTATTTATTAGGATCCGAGGCTAAGGGCCCGTTCGAGCGAAAAAATATCCGTGCGATTTTCCAGTTAATTCACCGGTACACACTTTCTAAAACCGCTCGGACACGCGCCTAATTACCTTACCATCTGGATTATCCGCGACAATTTTGACTACCAAATTGCTGGGTAGAATTCCATGTATGAGATGGCCTTGGAGCCGGAGACGATGATAAATCAACCTTAATTGCTTTGCCAAATGGTTCGTCCACAGCAAGTACCCACTGTCGTCGCGCTCTTCTTCGCCTCCTCATGTTCACGGCGAAATCAAAGTTGGATTGGACAGTAAATCCATCCACATAACATCGCATCATTGTAGCCATAATGGTGGCTAGTAGCATAGCTACACGTTCAATTTGTAAAATTACCATTACAGTACAGTATTCAGAGAATTAAACTTACAAATACAAATCGTTCCCGCGTATCGTTTAAACAAGCAGAAGTAAACAAAGAATGGGTTGATGGGATTGGTGTTTCTGAATGACCTTACAAAATTACTTCCGGGATAGTTTCGTTACACGGTATTCGACATGAGCTAAAATTTGCTCGAACGGTGGACCACCCGCTGTGGGCTCGGCGGGATTAACCGGTGAATTCACCGGAATACGGTTTGCATTTTTCGCTCTAACGGGCCCCAAGTATGATCAATTATTACTACGCTGTTAAAATGTGCACGGAATGCTGCATAATCTGAAAATTAGACCTTCCAACTAGTCCATACCACATTGTTTGCTGAGGTCTCATAAGATAAAAGCTTAAATGTATAATATATTTAACGTACATAAACGTGTGCGCTTGTGGGTCAGCACGAAACATGCATATTCCTGGCCTTCTGATTGGTCAGTTGTTAAGTTTGATTGACACTCAGCAAGGTCGAGGCCTATCAGTCATGTGATTTCCATTCTGGTTTAGAACCCCGTTGTCGAGGGTTCTAACCACACACTGACCAATCTCGGCTTAGTTACCACAGCTTGCACTGTTGACAGGTTGTGATGTGGCCCTATTGCGAGTATTTCATGGCTTATAAATTAAATCCTGCCTCTCATCAATATTGATGGTAACATCAAGCCTGATTTACCAAGATATTCAAAATAAAATTTAAAAAAAGTCTATGTAGTTTGATTATCTATTGCACTAAAATACACTATTATTTTTCATTAAAAATTGTTTAATTTGGAAAAAAAATATAATACAATAAAATAGATATAAAATATACATTTTTTCTTTGATCTTGCATTCATTTATTGATGATATAAATAATGCAGATCGTTTTCTGAAAAATCCTAAAAAAAATCAATGTTCTTAAAATGAATGTAAAGTATACAAAAAAAGCAGATGGTGTTCATCAAGTTAAAAAAAAAAATAGATTTTTTAATATGCACTATAATTTTGTTTCCTTTTATTAAAAATAATGGCTGTCCTAGTCATGTTTTAATAGCCACTTCATCTTTTTTATGTATAAATTTATAACCAAAGTGAACATTTTGAGGTCTTCAGAATGATCCAAACTGAGGCTTAATTATTATACAGTGTCTTGCAGGAAATTACTACATGTTTCGATGTCTGATTAATTTGTCTGGGCCAAGTCAACTTAAATTTTCAAATAAAGTGGTCATTTTTATGACCACTTTACCCTGTAGATAACTGTAACTGTACCCTGTAGATATTATAGACTTTATGCTAAATATATTCAACCGGTTTTTTGTGAAGATGCTTCAGCTAATAATGGAAGATACCGTAGTTCCTCAGGTGTAAGCCTACCTCAGGGATAAGCCCATTCCTATGCCCAATTTTACGTACCAGTCGTTTCCCGGGGGAAAAGTGATTTGGCGCAGTGGGAACGGTTTGGTTTCCCCACCTCGAGGTAGTAGTTTCAACCCCCTCACTGTGCATTTCACTTGTGTCCTTGAGCAAGGCACTCTTTCTGCATTGCTTCTCTCTACCCAGGAGTATAAATGGGTACCTGGTAGGGTTAAATGCCAAAATGCGCTGATGTAGCCGCTGGAACTTGAGTTTGCGCTACATAGGCATCCAATGACCGGGTGTAATACTATCAAGCGCTTAGAGGCCTTGTTGGCATTAAGCGCTATATAAATCTAACATATTATTATCTAACATATTATTAAAAACCAAGGGTGTAATTTAATGGGTACTAGTTTAAGATGACTTTTACATACCTGTACCCTAAAGTGCTTAAAAATTGACCTTTGATTGAAAAGAATATTCCATAGGTATGAACCCAAAAGAAGCCCATCCTAAGTACCCCTTTCCCCCCCCCCCCCAAAAAAAAAAAATAGCCCAATTTGTGTTAATGTGGATGGTCATAAGACAGAATAACAGTACATAACAGTAAACCTCTTTCGTGGAGGGAGAAAAATTATCTTAAATTATGAAATGTGAATGGGATAATTGATATATTTTTTCTTTAATATGTACTCGTTGATTTTTGTGAAGAAATTTAAAAAAAGTGAAAAAAAAAAGAAGTATCATGCTAGAATGCAGCTGCATGTGCATCATTTGTAAAGTTCAAATATCGTACGTAGTCAAATTGCTGTTATCAGTGTGAAAGATACCATAGTACCATTTATCTCTCTTCAAACAGGGCCAGATTCCGTAAATTAATTTTATGTTATCTCCATGATTTAGCTTAAGACAGAT